AATTGGCCTAATAGGACAATAATTAATCTTATATCCTAACTTTTTACAATAATTGCATTTTGGACTTAAAGAGGAATTTTTAATAAAATAATTGTTCAAAGGTTTTCTTTTTTTCAATAAGTAAGAATCTTTATTGTGAGGATCATATCCAAACCCATCCTTAGCATAAACATTTATTTGTTTTCCAAGCATGAGACCCAAATTATCTCTACCTTTTGTGAATTTGGCTAAAATCTCAATTTAATCCTTAATAATGACTTTCAATGATTTATTTTCAGAAATTAAGTCAATTGAGGCAGATTCTTTAGCTAATTCTTTTTCATTTTTCAAAACTTCATATTCAAGTTGAGATTTTTCAAGGTTTTGAGAGATAATAAACTTTTATCTTCTAAGAATAGCACATTTTTGAACCATTTTGCCTAATTCATCATGCAATTCTTTAAAAGCATCTAGCAAATAGTTATGTGCATCAACCCATTCATCATAAGTAGTTTCCAAATCAAATGAGTCATGATTAGAATTTACCTCATCTTCATCGACCATGAAACAAAGATTGACCAATTCATTGAGTTCATCGTCACTTTCGGATCCATTTGAATCATCATCCTCCCATATAAGTCGCATGACTTTACCTTTCTTTTTCCTTTCCTTTTCATTTTTGTAAGCATGGCAATCGGATTTGAAATGTCCCGGTTTTCCACAATGAAAACAAGTAGGTGCTTCTCTTTTTCGTTGCTTACTTGATGAACCATTTCTTTTGAAGTTGTTACTCCTTTGGTACTTCTTCATTCGAATGACTCTTTTCACGATTTTGGTAATGAAAGCAATTTCTTCTTCTTCTTCATCATTAGGAGCTTTATCAATTGCGACTTCTTTGGTAGTGGCTTGAAGAGCTAGATCCTTCTTTTGAGTTTCTTTGTCTTCATCTCTATCATTCATTTCTAGCTCATAAGCCATCAATGAGCAAATGAGTTCATCTATGGGGAGTGTTTTGAGATCTTTGGCCTCTTGGATGGCGGTCTTCTTGGCTTCCCAATTTTTAGGTAAGGACCTAAGAATTTTTCTCACATTGTCGGACGATGTATATGACCTTCTAAGAGCCTTTAAATGATTCACAATGTTAGTAAAATGAGAGTACATTTCACTAATAGTTTCTTTGTTGTTCATGGTAAAAAGTTCATATTTATGGACGAGCATATTCATTTTGGATTCCTTAACATGACTAGTACCTACACAGGTAACTTAAAGTTTATCCCAAATTTCTTTGGCCGTTTCGCAATCCGAAACTCTATTGAATTCGTCTTTGCTTAAGGCACAATAGAGATTAGTGATAGCCTTGACGTTGCATTGTACAAGCCTATGGTCATTGAGGGTCCATTCAATATCGGTTGTTGGAACTTTTTCACCATCTACCATTTTGGTTGGAACATGATCTCCTTGTTTGATGGCTTTCCAAACATCTATATCTAGGCCTCTTAGGAATGCTCTCATTTTGATTTTCCAATAGTTGTACTCATTTCCGTCAAACCAAGGAGGTTTATTATTAGATTGACCTTCTTGATGCAAATTTGTATTGGCCATGATCGTTTTCTAAGATGATTAAATCTTTTTCTAGAGATTAGGTCCTGATACCAATTATTAACCATTAATTGACTATAGAGGGGGATGAATAGAGTCAATGGCCAATTTTTGCAATTTATAAAAATTATTTCCAACTAACTATCATGCAATAATCAATTGAAATATTTAAGCAATATATAGCACAAGTATAAAAGAGATAAAGATAAAAAATTGCAAACAATGACTCGGCGATTTAGCGAGGTTTGAAAACTCCTATTCCTCGACTCAAAGACCCCTTGAGACTTCCCAAATTCACTAGAGCTTCTCCTTAATGATGGAGAGCAAACCTTCAATTGAAGCAAAACTTTGCTTCTCTTCCTTGCTAGGAGAATACCCTTCTCTTAAGCTTCTTTTGGGTCACACCAACCCTTTACAATAACTTGTAATAAAAATGAAGTGTACAATGAATCTCTCAAAGATAGTAGTACAAAGTTTAGCTTACAACTATAGTAAAGATGAATATATATATATATATATATAAAGCTCAATATCACTAAAATGAAATGAAATATTAGAAAGGAAATGAAAGCTCAAATGAATGCTTCTTTAATAATCTTGAAAGGTAGTAGAATGCTTTCTCAAAGGTGTGATTTTTCCTTCAGACTTCCTTTAGTATTTATAGAGTTTTTAGGTGAATAATGATGCTAAAGAAGGAAAAATCGAATTAAAAGTCAAAGGAGCCGTTGGTCATAGATTTTCAAGAGCAGAGCCAGCTCTCTATTGCATGGAGCCGGCTCCCTACCTCTGTGAGCCTGCTCCCCATTTTAGGAGCCTGCTCTCTTTGCAGGAGTTTTATTTTTCGTTGAAATTTGGCTACTAGAATGTTGACAGCCTGCTCTGACTTTCATGGAGCCTGCTCCATTGCTGTATGTGACTTAAAATAAATTTATTTTAGTCCTATTTCCTTCCTATGATGTGTGGCTCATGTGTAAATATGTTTATGAAGTTCATGAGCTATTTTTATATTCTTGAAAACAAAATGAGAATGGTTATGCATGATCATATGAGTTTGAGCTTTAAGTAAATATTCAAAAATACCTTAACAATGAAACCTAACCATTCACCAACCTATCTACTCATTTTTTTCATTATTTGACCATGATCGTTTAGGCTTGATGAAGTCGTGTTTTCTTTATTTGAAAATGCTTGAATGATCGTTGTAGTCCGAGTAATGATTAGATATGCCTCTGATCACTTGAATCGATTGTTTGAAATGCTCGGAATAGACTCTAGCTTATCACTTTGTATCCATTGCTTGGAATGCTTGAATTAGACCTTATAGATCATCATTGAATCTATACATCACTCGATAAAAATATTAGTACTTAAACATCATGAATGTTTTATAATCATTAAAATATTAGATTGATCTTTTAGATAAAATCCTTAAGGTCAACAAATAGTTATTTAGTAAATTTCATATTATATTTAGGAGTAATTTGGTCTTCATGTATTCATGAATGGTAAAAATTAGCATCTTTGTAATTACTTTTGCCTAAATGATTTTTTGATCGGATTATTTTTAAGTGCCTATATTTTAATAATTAAGACTTAGTAAGATAATTTTTATTAAATTAACTCTAAAAAATAATAGGTGAAAATTTTAAATTGTCAAATTTTAAAGAGTAATTTACACAAACTTTCCCTATAATTTGTCATAAATACGGGGACCTCCCTTGTGATTTAAAAATTTACTCGAATATCCCCTAAAAATAAAAATATCTTACACACACCTTCCTTCTGCTTGAATCAATGTCATTGAGTGCTTGAATCAATGTCATTGAGTGACCGATTGTGTTGATGTCATCTTTTAAATTAAGTAAAATGCATATAATACCTTTATTCCTACCATGTTCACAATATATTATTAAAAAATAAAAACAATTCAGTGGACTAAACTACCCTTAATATATATATATACATATAAACTCAAATATATATATATGTCTAATTTTTTCCATTTTCCAGATCCTACATCTGCTTCATCCACGGTCAATATGTTGCCACATCAGCTTCAAGCCTTCTTCTACTGAAGCTTAATCTGGTTTAGGCAGTGGTAGTGGCGGCGAGGATTTGTGACGACGACAGCGAGGATCTGTGACGGCAACGGGTTGTGGTGGTGGGTTTGAGACGGCGATGGCGAGGATCTGTGACGACGATGCTGCGAGATGGCGAGGCTGTGAGACGATGATGATGATAGGGAGGATCTGTGACGGCGACGGGTTGTGGTGGTGGGTTTGAGACGACGAGGCTGTGAGACGGCGAAGGCAAGGATCTGTGACGGCGATGTTGTGAGACGGCGATAGCGATAGCGAGGATCTGTAACGGTGACGACGAGAAGCGTTGAGGCAGGCAATTCGTTGATTCAAGGTCACCTTTGGATGTTGTCGTAACGCTTGGCTCTAGCTTTGTCACCGATCCTAATCCTTATAAAGGATAAAGCGCAAAAGTCGAACTCTGTGAGGCAAAAATGGAAAGTAATATCATACCCTGAGACTTAGGAGACCTCTTTGAAGTGGCTGTTATTTCCCGTAAGTAGCTGACCAGTCCGAATATGACGACAACGAAGGAAAAGATGACCTCTTTGAATTTCATGGATGAGAATTTGGTGCCAAATCAATGTCTCTGTAATTATTTTTAGCCACCAGTACTACTCGTCGGATTGGATCAAAAACTCACCAGAGTCAGGGTTATATTCGATCGGAAATAATAGTTAGGGTACATAAGTACACTATTATATATATATATATATATATATATATATATTATTTATATGAATATTTTAGTCATTTATAATAAAAAATTTAAGGTATTTTAATAAATTTAACATGCTCGTTAATGCATTTGACAGAATATTTTTATTTTTAAGAAAGATCTTAATAAAATTTTAAATTAGAGAGAAATTTTTTGTAATTATAACAAATTATGAAGAAAATTTATGTAAATTATCCAATTTTAAATAGTCAAATTTTAAAGATGCTATAAAACGCGCTCCACCATATTTTATGGGAAACTAATGAATAGAGGATTGTCCGGGTCGCGGATAGATAATGAATGATGTGAGGTTTTTTAATGCACGGGACCCTCCAGAAGAAGAAAAAGAAAAGCATCGGCCCCGTCAGCCCCACTTTGTATTTTACCATTTTTTTTATCTCTCACACCACCAACGCTATTCAGCGTTCACTATCCCCAACCCCTCGCCACGTCATACCCACCTGCCAACATTTCCGCATTAGAGATTAAAATCCCCTGCACCCCATTTAGCAAGTACAAACCTTGAATTAAACGTGGGTCCTACACCTCGACCGTTTTGATTGTAAATCAGATATGGAGTTGGGCCCACTGGCGCGACTAATCGTGTGATAGAATTCCCTGCGAACTATCGTTGCCCCTTTATTCTTGTGTCGTCTCTCCTCACAGTTCTCTCACTACTCTCTCTCTCTCTCCCTACGACTCCAAGGAGTCTTGTATACCTGAGCCTCTAAAATACTTTCTTTGGTGATGAACAATAATTACTTACAGGTCTATCTGCGTCTATAGCGCGCTCTCTCTCACACACTCGATCCATGGAACCAAAAGGCGTTGTCAGCTTCCGTCACCGCAGATCTCCCTCCTCCGATCGCTTCCTCGACGTCTTCTCCCCACCGAAATCTAGCGCCGGCGCCACAGCTGTGAACATCGCAGACGACGAGATCAGCGAGGACGAAGTCTTCTGGACCGGCGACTTCTCCGAACCGAACCGCCCCGCCAGCTCTCTCTCCGCCACCGCTATCCCCAACCACCACCGCCAAATTTTAGGGCATCCGGAAAAATTCGGCATCCTCGCCGCATTGCCGGAAGATAACCGGAAATATAACCGCCCGGTTTTATGCAGAAAACCTTCAATTTCATCATCATCTACCACGACGTCTTCGTCTCGGGCGATTCCGGCCATACCGAAACCTCCGCAACAAAATCTTCAAGAGAGGGAGTACTCTCAGTCCATGCCCACTCGAAAGCTCCAACAATCAGCTCCGATGAACGTCCCGGTGATGCTGAGGAAGGTGAGGAACGGTGAGCTTGCCGAGGTGGACGTGGACGACGGAGAGGACGAAGAGATGTTGCCGCCCCACGAGATCGTGGCGAGAGGATCGGCGATGTCCCAGATGACGACGTTTTCGGTGCTCGAAGGCGTTGGGAGGACACTGAAAGGGAGAGATCTGCGTCAGGTCAGGAACGCTGTGTGGCGCAAAACAGGTTTTCTTGACTGAGACTTGGCCCATTTTGATTGAGTTCTTTGTTTTTGGACTGAAAAGTTGCTTCCTTTTTTTTTGGCTAGCTTTCACAGTCTCCATCATGTACAAGGGTACATCTTTAATCATAGTTAAGCGTTTTTTGTATCTGAAAGTTTCCGAACAGGGATTTTTTTTTTGAAAGTTAACAGGGATGTTTGTTGCAAACGTTAAAACCTAAGATTTTTGTGTTGGGGTTTGGTAACTGTTGTAACTGCTCCATACATTTTGGTTAATGAATGGTAGATTACGAATTATATATATCAGCAAAAATTTTATACGGCACAAATTGAAAGTTGTTTTGGATGATGTTTACCATAATTGACTTGAAAATTTCCAATCAATGTACCATGTTATTTGTTATTTAGTTGTCCATTTATTATATCTTCTTGCTGAATTTTGGTCTGGTGTATGTGGATATTGAATACGTTTTTAGGCATTTATGCTTCATGCTAAAATTTCAAATTTGAGGAAGAGTGCGGGAACTCTTTTGTAGTATTTTCCTTGACTTCTTGTTGCTGATAGTATGCTTCCATCCAAGTCTCAGGGCCATAGATTTGACTCCACTTCCTATTCATCAGACCTCTCTCTCTCACACACAGGGGACACATGCTCTATGTTTAGAATTGTAATGTTTGTGGGCAAGGTGATTTTAGTTTTTGTGCGCATTTGGGAAGATAAGAATCACTTCAAAAAGAAGAAATTCGATCATGTGCACATCCCAATAGAGTGTCACGACATTATCTGTGTAGTATTTTATAAAACAAAATAGTTATTCAAGTAGTGACCATTAGGATGTAGCTTGTGAGTGTGTTTTGAGTGTTGGTGAGGTAGGAAACACCTACAAAACAACAAATACATTCTCATAGCGCAAACAAACTAGGCATATAAACTGTATAACCATTCAGAGATTATTTGAGCAGTTTGTAGCTAAATGTAGTTTGCGTGTTGAATTCGTAATTGACTTGATGCATCTTGTTGCCTTCCAGGGATGTTTGTACTTGTTCTAAAAAAATACCATCCGTCAAAATTTTTTACCTGCGGTCTCTGCTGCTTACCTAAGGTCACTTGTTCCTGCTTCCAAATTACATACTAAATGCCTATGAATTTGATCAAGCTTGACATCTGATTATGTAGTTTTAAACTCTGATTAGTAAATGTAGCCTTTTCAACTAAAACTAGGGGAGTATATGTAGCTTCCTTTTTTTTTAGTCAGATTGATGGTAAGAATGGGAATTTGCCAAGTGATCGAGATGCTTACATTGTCAGAATGGTATGTTAAATGATTTCATGGTAATTGGCCAGTATTCTTTTATGAATTATGATAGATGCTTTACAAGTTAGATTAATAATTCAAGCCAGGAATATAGAGCATGAACCTATCAAGCCTGCATTGATAATTATGGGTGTGCTTGTGTTTGGGAAATGCTAAGTGTGGGATTGTGAATTTATTGGTGGATTGATTTGGACTATGAAGCTGATTTGATTGGCTGATAGTAAATTAGAGAAGATCGAAACTTTTGTTGCGTTTGGGAGCACCAAATCCAAATCACTTGGGTAATTCATGGCCTTCATAATTGTTTGGGTGCTCCCAAACATATTTTTTGTAATTGCTCGATAATGTTTTGTTATTCATGGCAAATTTGACCTCTAAGAACCCTAATTCAGTTTTTATGTCATTGGGCATTGGTCCATATGAGTTAACTTTGAATTTATTTTGGACAACAATTTTGACGAAGTTGTCATAATTTGAAAACTATAATTATGAAAGAGAAGGGGCAGGGGCCAATTGTTATCCACCAAATCACTTGGGTAGTTAATGGGTTTTGGATCTTTATTTATTTATTTTTTATCCTTTTCTTTTCTATATTATAATAATAGGTGGGTGGTAAGTTTTCACATGTATATTTTTTAATGCTTTGGGAAAAACATTTCTAATTTTTACTAAATTGCTTTTGTTTCCCTTTCCTTGCTCTTAATGGTTAATACATGGTATCTGATTGCACATTGAGTAGCATCCACACAAATCGATTCATAACTCAAAGTTAGTAGTATCTGATTGCACATTGCAGTAGAGCAGAGCTATTATGTTATATGGATGGATTTGGGGGGCATGTGGAAGTGCCAGAATCATCTAATAAAATATCATCGGATCTTAGGGCAGAGGAATGAAGTTGAATTGTTTTGTCTTTGAAGATTTCCTCCACACATACATGCCATATGATATAGTAATTAACTGTTTATATATACTAGTGTAACTAGAATCTCCTCCGGATCATTATTCTGTCTAGATCCCATCCTTTTCGGATTGGTGGTCAGATTTGGTTCATAATAGAGGCTCTTAGGATCACGGAGGTAAGACTACTTCCCAAATTAGCAGATGGGTTAAAGTCAGCTTGGTTCCCACCCCAACTCCTTTGGCTATGTTCTTCAATGGCGACCTCCCAGTGATGGTGTTGTAGAAGTGTAACATCAACGAAACATTCTCTTGTCTGCCCCATACTGGTGGAGGAGGAGGTGTTGTGTTTCGGGACAGTTCTGGGTCCATTGTCAAAATTGTAGTGTTGCAACCGGCAGTTCTTTAGGCTCTCCATGATGTTTTCAGCCAGGTGTGACTTGAGGTGGATTCGCTGGTGGTTGTGAACGTCCCAGGGCCTTCAGAGATTTCTCCTCAACTCACATTAGCCATGTTTTTTTCAGAAATGGCAATCGGGTCGCTCATCTTCTTTTTTATGTTGAGTACGTTATCACATTCATCATGATATTCCTTAGCGGCCCCTGATTGTAATGTTAGAAATTTTTCTGTTTAATGTGGTCTTTACATTATTATACATATGATATTCCAGATACTGAAGAGGGTTTTAAGAAATTAATTGGAAGATGATCCAATATTAAGGGTTTTAAGAAATTAATTGGAAGATGATCCAATATTAAGGGTTTTAAGAAATTAATTGGAAGATGATCCAATATTAAGTGCACGCAGTATATGAAAAACAAAAAATGTAAAGATGGATACACTTTTATAACAACGTAATATGAGTTACATATATACTTTTTAATAAATTACGGTGACGGAATTTTATGCGCTTAAATTTTAAGTGCGGAATATATTAATTTGTAAACTTGTTTGATATTATATTAATTTTAAGCACTGAATTCCTTAAGATTATTTGTTAAATGTAAAAGTTAAAATCTGAATGTTATATATATTATATTTTTGCCTTGAATATCTTCTACACATAATATTATTATAAAAGATACTATATTAAAATATAAACATATATATAAAATAATGAATTTCACCAAAGAAATAATTTCAATTTAATAATGGATATTAATGTCAAAAACTGATCATAAGAATTTCAAAATCAACATATCAAATAAAAAACTTGTAAAAATGAAATATTTATAAGAAGAATATTATAATTCACGCACAAATCATTCAATTTTTTTATATTGTAGATTTGCATCATAATAATCGTGTGAGGGTTTCATTGCATAATTGTTGATTATAAATTTGGGTTAACCATATAGTTTATATATATATATATATATATGCTTTGTTGAATATTATTTATATTTACATGATTTGAGAAGAAAAGTACAATGAAACCTTTGAAAAATTGGAGTAAATTAAAAATATATATTATAAATAGAATCGTTTAATTTTAAGAGTTGAAAAAGTGACGGAGAACCTAAGAATATAATATTTGAGGTAACATTGTCATTAACAAAATATTTTAAAATCTAAAATTACTTGTCATCTTCTCCAATAAGCATTAAGAAAGGTCCTATTAGAAATACCAAAGTTTAATTTCAAGAGTTGAAAAAGTGATGGAGAACCTAAAAATATAATATTTGAGGTAACATTATCATTAACAAAATATTTTAAAATTTTTGCCTGCGTAACATTTTAAGTGGTAACCTAAATGTTATCAAACACGCTAATTTAATCTTGAAAAAGTGATGGAGAACCTAAAAATATAATATTTGAGGTAACATTATCATTAACAAAATATTTTAAAATTTTTGCCTGCGTAACATTTTAAGTGGTAACCTAAATGTTATCAAACACGCTAATTTAAAAAATTTACTTGCGTTCTGTGTTAAAACATTTCTGCATCTGAACATTTTCCTCAAAAATTTACTTTCTCGCAAAAGTTGTGTACTTTATATATTACTTTTCTATTATACTCATGTTAGTTGTGTCTCTTTTTCTTTACTTGATTACATAGACTTTCTTGAAAAGGAGAGTTTCTTTTTTCTGTAAATTGCTTTTTTATAAAATCATGTATTATTAATTTAATTGTTTGTATTTTTTATGTGTACATCCAAAATTAATTAATTTTTTCCTTTTATTACTGAATTATTTTTTTTCATTATTTTTTTTTTAAATGTCTCAAATAAGTAAAATATTTTTTCTATAATTGATAATGATTAAGAGCTATTATATATACATAACTATTTGTTGATAACAAGAGTGTTAGGTGAAAACTATTCTACATTATCTTAACACAATTTGTTTCATACCTAACATCAAACATTATCTTGAAATAAATAATTGATGATTCTTAAATAGTTTACATAATCCATCTATGACTTTATTTTCTCAGTGAGAAAATTGTAATTAGATATATAGTATCCAGTTACATCATTTACAAATAAATAATAAATAATAAAATTAAAACTAACATAAAGAGAAAATAAATACTTCAACTTTGATAGTCCAATTTACTAGAAACTTATTTTTCTTACCTTAAAAAATAAAAGATCGAGAATTCAAGTTTACACAGGAACAAGTGAATATATAAAGAAAGGAGAAAGCAAAAAAATTGTATTATGATATCACATACTATTTTATTCCATATTTCACTATTTTCTTATTAAAATAAATAATTAAGTATAAATAATATTTATCAAACATAAATTTATTTATTTTTTTACTATTTTAAATTATAAGGGTATTTTCGGTAAGTAGAATCATTTTTTTTTTTTCCCTTTTCATGCTATCCAAACTAATAAAATAATATTTTCTTACAACTTTCTTCAAAATATTTCCTGCTAACCAAATGCATGATATAAACTTGATTTTTCTTTCTTTTATTTTCACTTTCGATAAAATTTTCTGTCTAACCAAACAGACCCTAAAGTAATTAATTTTAATGGAATTGGAGTTAGTGGTCACTTAATGAAGAATTAAGTAATCCTTTGGTAACTCTCTTCTAACTCTTGGTTTTCTTATGTAAATTTAAAAGTCTTATCCAATTCAACGC